TGAGCTCAGGGCAATCCACCTACCTAGGCCTCTCAGAGTGCTAGGATAAAAGGCATGAGCCACCATACCCAGCCTGTCACTCTCTTTCTGTAAATTTATTTTTATTTTTTTTTAATATGAAATGCTTCATGAATTTGCATGTCATCCTTAGGCAGGGGCCATGATAATGTTCTCTGTGTCCTTTCAATTTTAGCATATGTGCAGCCAAAGCAAGCACTATTACTTTCTCATCACCTTGTGGTGCTAGTAGTATTATCTTTAAGCCACAGTTTCTTTTTTCTTTCTTTTTTTTGAGTCAGAGCCTTACTCTGTTACCCTGGCTAGAGCGTCATTATCTCACTACAACCTCTAACTCTTGGGCTCAAGCGATCTTCCTGCTTCAGCCCCCCAAGTAGCTAAAAACTACTAGTGCACACCATCACACTCAGCTAATTTTTCTGTATTTTGTAGATAGGCTCTTATCATGTTGCTTAGGCTATTCTCAAATGATCTTCCTACTTTGGCCTCCTGAAGTGCGAGCCTGGCCCAGAGTTCCTTAGTAATAATTTTTTTTAAGCCTTATGTCAATTTTAGAGGGTTTGTTTGGTTAATAATGTATGTTACAATTTTTTTTTTTTTTTGAGACACAGTCTCAAGCTATCGTCCTGAGTAGAGTGCCATGGCGTCACAGCTCACAGCAACCTCAAATTCCTGGGCCCAAGTGATTCTCTTGCCTCAGCCCCCCAAGTAGCTGGGACTACAGGCACCTGCCACAATGCCCAGCTATTTTTTGGCCTGGGTTGGATTCAAACCTGCCAGCTTTGGTGTATGTGGATGGCGCCCTAGCTGCCCCAGCTATAGGCGCCGAGCCTGAATGTTACAATTCTAAATCCATCTACATGCCAATTTAAGTTGCTATATGTCACATTATGCAGAAATCAAAAACAGTCAAGGAGTACTATCAATGCTCCTCGATCATGGAATTCCTATCCTTCCCCCAATAAACCTCAACTATCATACATGGCACACAACACTGCAACATATGGATTCTATGACTGTAGTGGTTTGATCTGCATGGTAACTATTGGGAAAATTATTTTCTTTTAGATCACAGTAGACATAAATTGGAGGTATATAATTTTTTTCCTAGATATCCCCAGAGATACATTCAGACCATGTTAGAGACCAAGCCTGCCAGTCCCCAACCCTAGCTTGAGTCCTATCAGTAGCTTCCATGAGGAGAGTGGTGGTACCTCCATGAAGGTGATCTAAGTCTCATGTGAATTGTAGCTTCTGCAAGACCTAGGGTTCTCCAGTCATTATTCTGATTCACAAACTGTACGGAACAATTAGCCTGGACTCGAACCTGTGAGCTCAAGCAATCCACCCACCTCCATGTGGTTCTAATATATCTGCCAAGAGTAATAACCATAAAGTCAGAGGAATGATAAGCAGCTGACCAATCCAGGCTTCCCTGAGCACAATCCATAGTGCTCAGCACCCAGAGAAATAAAGTAGAAGACAATCTGAGATTATGAACCTCCAAATACAAACGCAGTCAAAAGGTCGAAAGTTACGTATTTTTCAACAGAATAAAACTGACTTTAAACTTTCAAAGATGAGGCACAGTGCCTACAGTTCAGCGGCTAGGACACCAGCTACATACACTGGGGCTGGCAGATTTGAACCCAGCCTGGGCCCACCAAACAACAATGACAGCTACAACCAAAAAATAGCTGGGCATTGTGGCAGGCGCCTATAGTCCCACTACTTGGGAGGCTGAGGCAAGAGGATCACTTAAGCCCAAAAGTTTGAGGTTGCTGTGAGCTATGACACCACAGCACTCTACTGAGGGTGACAAAAAAAACAAAATTTCAAAGATGAAAGAAGGAAAGAAAATGGAAATAAAGTACATATATGTGAAAAGAGAAAGAGGCTCCTATAGTTAAAAAATAAACTAACAAAAAACAGAGAGAAATTGATGACTGATAGTAACTTAGTTATCCCCAATTTGAAGTGTTTTTCTTTATCAGGATAGGCATATTATTTAAAACTTCCATGTTCTGGCTCAGCGCCTGTGGCTCAAGCAGCTGGGGTGCCAGCCACATACACCTGAGCTGGTGGGTTTGAATCCAGCCTGGGCCTGCCAAACAACAATAACAGCTGCAGCTCAGCGCCTGTGGTTCAAGTGGCTAAGGCACCAGCCATATACACCTAAGGTGGCGGGTTCGAATCCAGCCCGGGCCCGCCAAACAACAATGACAACTGCAACCAAAAAACAGCCAGGCATTGTGGCGGGCGCCTGTGGTCCCAGCTACTTGGGAGGCTGAGGCAGGAGACTCGCTTGAGCACAGGAGTTGGAGGTTGCTGTGAGCTGTGATGCCACAGCACTCTACCCAGGGGAACAGCTTGAGGCTCTGTCTCAAAAAACAAACAAACAAACAAACAAAAAACTTCCATGTTCTAAATATGAATTTCTGTAGGGATTCCAATATGCCATATTCTGGTCCTATACTGTTTGAAATGAGTTACACAGATATTGTTATAAATGCAGTGATAGAGAAGGTACCACTTTTGTCATATGTTGATAAATACTTGTACATCACCTAACCACATCTGGAATAATAATCTATGATGCCAATATTGCTCAAAGTAAGCATCACCATGCACTTTCATGTGGTCAATGGAAGACAGTACAAATCCAATCATTTTCAGTGATACAACTACCAGGTAAAAGAACAACTCTGTCATGCAATAGAAATTTTCTAGTCAGGGTCTAAAGTGTAGAGGCATAAATAGGGAGGGAAAGAACAGAAGGGATTGTGATAGTCAAGGCCACTCTACCAATGAGTTCCTCCCAGACAGCAGCTTTGTTCCCCCGTAGGCTCAGTTCCCGCTCCCAGGTCTCTGGCCTAGGAAGTTTCATCCGCTTCCCAGCTCTACTGGAATCCCATGGCCCAGGTAGGCGACTTCGGGAAAAAAGCTGCAGGTTGGAGGGATATCTGGGACAGAGAAAAAAGAGCCTATCATTTTAAAGCTAGTAAGAAAATAACTCAGAAAAAGAAAGGTAAATTTGTCTAAGCCACTTAGTCACGTTCCCAGGCCATCTCTGCCCAAACTCTTTGCTGAGGTTGAGAATTACCAGAATGGTGCCACAGACGTTAAAAAGTCAAAGGGTTACCTTGATGGAGTACATGCTCAGGGTGTGTGGAGTCGCTCACCTGCAGCCCAAAAGGGCTTGGACATTCTCAGCAGGCTTGTGGATATGCAATCGTTGTACCAACTTCTTCAGGGTGAACTGTGGCTGATTCTTTTTCTTTGGCAATGCATTGTAGGACTTCTCAAACTGTGAAAACATCCCCAAGTCCCACAAGAGTCATTTCATCCACGATCACGGACACTTAGAATCTAAGACCATCTTATACCTATGAGGTAATTGAATTCTTCAAAATAAATTTGGGCAAAGACAGGAATAGAAGGCACACATCTCCAGCAACAAGGGTTCCCATGGAGGAAAAAAAGAAAAA